AGGTGTTATCTCGCTTGGCTTCATAGACATGAGTATAGAAGTAGTATAGAAGGGAGCAAACTGTCCTAAAGACAACAGACAGACAGAATGCTGTAACTCTGATTATTGCAATCTCTTCGATTCTCACTCCGAGAGTACTATTGCGATCTGGAGGATTCTGAAATAGGTGCAGGACTTCTATATGCTCAAATACAAACGCAGAATATATCCTAAATAATCGGGCGGCAAATGTATTTCACGAGATTTTCCAAGATCTAAAATTTTCAAAATTCGGAACCGAGACTTTTTTTGCGTTCCGTATCTTAACGTGTGCGCATAAACGATGATGACCAGGCGTTTGTCCGTTAGCATACCGTTGCCGGACCGTGCAGATTGAAGAAAACCCAGAGGTATCAGAAGGGGTCAATTGTACAAGGGATGGAAAAAGCTATCCGCTCCATAGATTTTGTTATGGATCTTAGCCACTGGATAAGGATTTATCTGATGGAAAACGTACATGAGCATTTCACTCTCTGAATCCATTGACATTATTTTGGGGCTGGTTTTGTCCATGCAGTTGGAAACTTTTGTTAATCCTTAATTGCCAGTTGATTTACACTGGAAACTTCTCTTGGAAACCTCTCAAGCAATTAGATGAGACGCGGCAAAGATCGACGTCTGAACCGAGAGATGTGGACAAAAAAAATTTTTGAAATCTGCCCGGTTATTAAGTACAGTGTGGTTTTGAGTTTTCGCGCGCTTCGTGTACGATATTCGCGGTTCGACGAAAACTGGCGAAATCTTTATAACAAAAATAACAAAAAGAAGTTGAATAAAATCAATTTTGTTTCTGAATAGATCTGATTTACAAATTTTTTATCAGTTTAATTATAAAAATTATTGCCAAACTGTACATTTTCACGTGTGAATAGCTTTTACCTTTCGAAAACAATTTTTGAGAATTTTTATTTTTATTTTTTTAAGACTTAATTCGTTTGTGGGCCTCGGCTTATCCACAAATTGGTTAAATAATGTTCTTTTTAATTGTTTTACATACATTTGGAATACTAAGTACTAAAATATTAGCGTCATTTTAGCTCTGATATTTTTTCAAGTAGGAAGATTTTATATATTTTCAATTCCATTTTATTATTTAATGTTTACCACTCCGAATAATTGGCAGTAGAGTGCGTTAGCAACTATACCGAAAGAACAGAACTACATGCAATGAAAAAATTGGGATAAAAAGGTTTTTTGCGATTGCTATTTTTCAGTAAAATATCACTACTGATGTTTAGTGAGCCGCTTACCAAATTCAATTCAGCATCCAAATTTTCAGTCTGATCCGTGTTGCGAAATCTTGTTGGAAGGATCATTATTTCTTTGCTAATAACGGATTTATTCTGTTTGAAGTTATGCAATAACTTTACGTGAGGTGTCTCTTTGGCTTTGTGATATATCGTGCCGTATTCTTCAGGCTCGGAACTTGTTACCAAATTTTCCTTAATTAATAAACATCGTAAAATCTTTGAACATGGATGTGCTAAATCGTAATTACTATTCAATTTGTGCTCCGATACACTAAAATTCCAGCAATTTCTAATTTTTTTCGTATTTTGGCCCGAATTTTACGGCAAATCCCCATCATTTTGATATTGCTCATACAAGGGCCTAAAAGCACATGCGCAATGGCATTTCGTTAAGCACAGCAGAAAAAAATCCATTTAAAGTCAGTTTATTTCTTCGAAGAAACCTCTAAATTTTGCGGCTTGTAAGCTTTTCGTCGAAGAAGCGAAGCCGAAGCACAGATTGTATTTTGTAAGCTAGTAGCGTTGTTTGCTGGCCGGTGTTCGCTCGCTAAAGGCTTGACCACGACACAGCTGGCTCAAAACAATAGCATTCTTAGGTCCGATGCCCTTATATGGGAGCTCGGACATATTCTCTCTAGCCTTGGTAAAAAATGAATTTGCCATCATGGCTTTCGTCGTAAGGTTCGCTTTTGTTGGCTTCTAAAATGGGGATTTGCCTTCGAGAGCTTCGAATTTTAGATACTTGGTCGGTTTTGGCATGATGGAATTGCTAATTTCACAGCCTTTCGTCAAGTGTGGCTTGCGTCTGATTTGAAGTTACATGAAACATGGGATCCTTTCTTTCAAACAGAAGAACGTCAACAACATGGTAGGCGACTTTGTGGTTATATTTCTATAAGGAAGCCTTTCAGGGACTTGTAAGACACATGAACAAAGCGGCAATCTAAAAGCCAGACATATCGCAGTCGAATGCAGAACTTAGCAAAGTGTTAAAGCAGGGTTATTTTCAAACAACTGAACATAGGCCAAATTTCGTCTCTTCAATCATACCAAAAAATATGGCGGCTGCTTAAGCGGTGGCTTTTCCAATATGGGTATAGAGCATCAAATCGACTGCACGGTCTATAGGTTTTCTATTTATACCGAAACGAGTTGGTCTAGGTGCAATACGTGTATTTTGTGATCTGTATACGGTCTGGTTTGGTAAACCTAGAATCTATGAAGCGACGAACCTACTTGCCACCGCTCGAAATGAAAATCATTCTGGGCTGTGCATGTATTTTAATTAGTATATTCCAAAAAATACAGGTCTCTGGGTCTCATCACTTCGGCTGTATCGCTGGAGCTTTTGGCTTCCAAGCAGATCTTATTTGAACGGCCTATTTCGCTTTGTCCTACAAGGGTTTTTTTTCGTATGAAACAGACCAGTTCTTGGTTACCCTAGTTCTCTATATTTACAATAGATAGTATGCCCAACAACGATTTGTATTTAAAATTCAGTTTTTTCAGATTTACTTGCGAAGAAAGTGGCCTCGCTCGTCGTCTAGTTCGTGTTTACAACTACATTTTTGAAATTTAAGCACAGTTTTTAAACAACAATGCCAGAGAGACGTGAGTGAAGTCGAAGCCAGTCGATAGTTCGACTGTACGGATTTTCGTTCACTTGTATTGTTGTTTTTTTGCCGATTCGGGAGACGGTAAAAACGTTTATGTCTCCCTGCATCGTATTTTTGTTCAAAATTACAATATTTTTCATCGTTTTCGATTCTTTTGTACTAAAAGTATCTTCTGATCAGACTGTATTTGGTTCAGGCATTGGATCAAAACAGTTTGTTTTGGCCTGTAATATCGTAAGTTGTAATTCACTCATTCGACACAAATTCACATCATTTTTGACTTCTCTGTTTTAAATATCTTGTTGTGACCATAGTTCAGGCTGCAAACAAGAAAAATACGTTTTTGTGATGGTATATATATTTTAAGTTTGACTTCGAAGTTCGACGATCGCTTCGAACGGAATAGTCTTTCAAGCGAAACGAAATCGGCAACGATGCATTCAATCAACTCAGCTCTGTTTATGTATGGAACACTTGATCATATCGAACGTTTCAGGTCCAGCTAGCAGATTTCTTAAGTCAAAATATTCGGGTTTTTTCAATCGTTAACGTGATTCCAGGCTAATATTCCGAGACTAGTTAATAAGGCCTTCGTATCTGGCATCATTGTGGCAGAAAAAAAAGCATCAAAAATCTAGCAAAAATAATTCCTTGGAAATAAAATGCGCCTTGCGTTTGGTATAACGATTGATTTGCAGAACGCTGTGCAGATTTTTCTACTTTATAATTTGTATTATATAATTATGATTTTTTTGTTCTTTAATGTTGTCAAAATATGTTGTTGTTTCTCGCTCTTATTATGAGTTTTTTCTCCGTTAGGTTTTCATTAACAATGCGATATAATGAATCATGCTGCATAAATCGGTCAGCACGTTACAGCTACAAGTGATTTGCAAATCATTTGTTATACATGCATTTTTATTTGTGCAATTTTAAACTCTCAGACTTTAGTAGTGGAAGAACATAGAACTTGATAACCGAATCTAATTTGTTGACGGTTTTATAAAGCAAGTATTTCATTTTTTTCTCATGATTCTTGGTCTAGTCTTTTATCTAGTCAATTGTCTAGTTTCATATATATCATACGTGCCATTATTGCGTGTGCATTTGCAATCAGTTCAAACTATGATGCAATTTTTCAAGTCCAATTCAGACCATCAACATTCAACTTAAAGATTTGTCCTCAGTAGGATTCTGTTTCATATCTAGATCATTGACCTTTTTGCCCTTTTTAGAGTGTTCCCTGGAGTAGATAATGTCTCAGGTATTATAGAATTGATACAATGCATTAAAAATGACTTAAAATTACAATTTGAATGAATGTTCCGGTTTTCTACTGTATTTACTACGTGCTTCCATRCTCGAATGACTTCCATCATGTGAGCGGTCATGTAGAAACATATCCTTGTGTTCATTTGGTTGTTTACAAATTATTTGATTAATATCCAAGTTTGTATGGACATTATACTGTTGTAAGTTCAACTTGAAAAGCTTAGCAATTATATTGTTGTCAAAATGCTTTTTCTAGACTAAAAATTGCCTGCAAATTGCCTGCAATGCATTGAAATGTCGTTTTATTTGTTATTTTATGAATGTACACTTTGACACAGTTAAATCTAACACACGCTATTGCTTTAAGAACTTGTATTCTTAATTTGAAATAAATGCTATTATGTAGAGAAATTTTGTCTTTTTGTCGAAATGATTATCTAAAGAAGTGTTTTTCTGCAATTACATTCACTTGACAAGAAATAAGATAATAGTTCTTTAATAATGATTCAAAAGGAAATACCTTTTTACCATGTTTCATAGATACGACAGTGAACTTTCCATGATGGTTTAGGGACAGTTGAAATAACTGAAATAAGAAGGGAAACTTCCTTTGATTTTTAATGCCATTTGGAATCCTTCCGCTTTTTTGAATGTTAATAAATAAACTTTTATTTCACAGGCTAATAAAAAATTTTTAGAGAAAATCGAAGTTAAACTTGTACAAGGAGGATTTAGTAATTTGGTCACATGACCCTCCGTTGTAGTGACCTCATGAATTATTAATATTACCAAAAAGACCAATGAATTATTGTTTTCTTTGCAGCTTTCCTAGAAAACGTGAGAGCAAGTATTCTTCTCGGTCTGGAGAGGACTCTACTGATAAACAAGACACTGATAAACTGGCTATCCCAGTACCGCCGCAGCGCAGAGAATCTTTCTTATATAAATCGGACAGTGAATTCGAATTAGCATCCAAGTGTGTCACGTCACGGCACCATTCGTTTAGCGAGGGGTACGTATCTTACTTATTACTTCATATTTTGTCTTATGCTAGTGCCAAACACTGAATCACATCATTTCATTGATTAAAAAGCGTGTTTTCTATGTTGCTTTTATATATTAATTATGTTTATGGAGTATTTCCATACATAGAGGATTGTAACATGGGCGCTCGGAGATACAGATTGTATATTTGGGTGCTTCATTGGCATAACAATCAATGGAACATGAGAAGATAAAATTTGTATCTCCAAACAGCCATGCAATGTTCTGTTTATTAAGCAAACTCAAATTGATATCTATAAGGCAATGAATATGACAATTTTATATTATACAGAATATTAATAGTATCATGTTACTTTCAAATGTGATGGGTATTTCCGCTAGAGATTTCCTGGTATTTCATTAAAGTTTATATAACAAAAGTGTAGGCTTCTCTGTCGTAGGTCCAAGTTTTTTCAAAGGGGTTGGTAAATTATTCAACCCAGTTGTACAAACCTTCCAAATCACTTGTTGACTTCTAAGTGGGCTGCTTTAAGCATCACTCCTTCATACCCTCCAGTTTTTAGAGCCCAACAAATTCCAGTTAACACAAAAGCGAGTGACGAGTGAGTGGCAGCTCACAGCAGGATGTCTGCAATGATGCTAGATGCAAGCAAAAAAATATTGATAAATTATTGTTCACAGGAAAATGAGTTGTATGTGAGTGAACGACAGGTCCTTTCTATTTTAACATGAGATATTTCCTAACTTTGTCCAATATTGTCTTCCTAACAGAACACGAGTCGAGGAGCTGGTTACTCCATTTGCCCAAATTCTGTCCAGTCTGCGCAATGTCAGGAATACCTTTATAACCTTAACTAATGCGAAAAAAGAAAAGTACGTAGAAAATGTTATGAATTTGATGTTCCAGAAGAAATTATTGCATCAGGACTTTTTGGATTTTGCTCTTTTACTCAGTTATCTGGGGCAAAGCGTATTCTTTTATGATTCTACAAGGCTGCTTTCAGAAGCATGTTCTTTGCCAAAAAAAATTAACTTCAAAATACAGTACACCTATATTTTCATAAATATAACAGGAAACATTTTGTAGATCTTTCAAAGTTTATCTGAATTTTTTGCCTGTTTAAAATCTTTCTTTTTATTGTTATACCAGAAGGAATGAATTAGCTAAAAACCCAGTTTGAAGAAAAGACCAAGCTTTTAAGTCATGAGGCAATAATTTTAGATGTAAAGTTGTTGTTGTCATCTAGAAACATTGTTATCATAAAGGGTCACTTTCATCCTTGATGCATTGCACACCTTGTATGAGGTTTTGCACTTCTAGTAGAAATCAAAAATTCATCAAATCCTTGAAATATCAAACAGTTTATCACTGTCTGTGACGAAGATCGAAATTCATCTACACTGTGTTATAGAGAAATGACATTAAACTTTGAGAACCAGGTACAGAGGAAGGTTTTAATTAAACTTTCGATTGTGATCGGATCTTGATCGCAATGAATACAAGGCAGGTGGCTTGGGACAAGTCAGTGCGAATGCAATTTGTATATGTGCATTACATCATATAATCCCAAACAAATAACCCATCATGAACTAGATATAAAGAGAAAGTTATAGTGCTTGCAAAAGAGGTTATCCCATGCAGAATAAATTCAGAAAAAAATCACTTTGAATCATAATTCCTGGTACTACTTAATAATATGCTCTTCCAGCTGAGCTTCAAGGTCAGACTACTGTAGGAGCAGGTTGGAGCAAAATAAATGTTGGTCCATTGTAATTTAAATCCAAGTCTGGTTGCAGCCATAACTGTTTGCACTATCATAGTTGATGTTATAAGTGTGATTTAACCTTAAACCTTAGGTATCATAAAAACCTTTTTTGGCACATTTGTTTGTTCATTGAAGTTGATCTTTGTAAAATTTTACAAAATGCTTATTGCTCACACAAGTGTCATTAATGGTTTTGAAAACAAAATAACAAATCTTGCCAAGTTTCATTTAAGTGTTCTACAGGTGTTTCAGCTTGACATCATACAGTATCAATTAGACAACAAGTATTACTCTTGATCAATCAACTCTAAAGAGTTGTCCAAATGCTTTAAAGTGCCTATGACGCCTGACAAAAAATTTTCCGATTCTCTGTGAGCTGATCTTATATAAAGTAAATAATTGAATGGTTAAATATTTCTGCATTTCAGTGTTGCGTCTTTGAGTTTTGAAGGTTTAATCTTCCAATATGCTAATGAATTGACGTCAAGGGAGGCTTCATTAGATATAGGAACTTTGAAACAGTCGCTCAAAAATGTTTTCATGAATGCCATCTGGTAATATGGTTATTCCCTACATTGCATACGATAAATTTAATGCCATGAAACAATTTTTAAGCGACTACTGCAAAGTTTGTATATCTAATGAAGCCTTCTTTGACATCATTTTCATTAACATATTGTAAGGTTAAACCTTCATAACTCAAAGACGCAACACTGAAATGAAGGAATATTTCACAATTCGATTATTATTTTTTATATAGAATCAGCTCACAAAGAAGCAGAATTTTTTTTGTCAGGCGTCATAGGCACTTTAACTTAACCAAGGTCATGCTGTACAAGTATACAGACCTAGAAAAAATCTCTTCCAGTCAAATAACCTCATTCCGAAGCAAAGCATAGAGCCTGCATTGCATCAAGGGTGAAAAGGAACTTTTTATCTTTTTACAAATCTGAAAATAAACTATTCTCAATTAATAACTAAATGATTTATTAAATAATTATGTCTGGTTTTTTTTTTTTTTTTTTTTTTTTTTTTTATTGTCTTTCAGAAGAAGAGGGTCTGCAGGGCCACATTTGAATAGGACAAATTTTTCTGAAATGCAAAATAGTATAGGTATAGTAATCAATAATTTGCCATCATTTTGTTGTTGTTGATGTTGATGTTGATGTTGTTGCTGCCATTGTTGTTGTTGCTGTTGTTAATGTTATTGTTGCTGTTGTCATTCCTATTATGTTGTCGTTGTTGCTGTTGTTAATGTTATTGTTGCTGATGTTGTCATTGTTGTCATTGTTGTTTTTGCTGCTGCTGCTGCTGTTGTTGTTGCTATTGTTAATGATGTTATTGTTGCTATTGTCATTCCTGTTAATGTTGTCATTTAATAGTTGTTGTTGCTGTTGTTGTTGTTGTTGTCACTGAAGTCTTGACTATTGTCTACCATAAAGTAGAACTCCAGTAGGTAATCATAATGCGGCATGTGTGCTAGACCATTATTGTGTTAGCTAAAGATTATATCTAAGTCTCTGTCGACTACTTTACATCTTGTTTTCATTGATAATTATTGTTCACGTTTGTTTGCTTGTTTGTTCAGGTTTGTTACAGATACCAAAAGATGAGAGTTATCAAGTAGTTGCCAACAGTACTCTAGAAGAGCTGGACTGGATCTTGTATCAGCTGGAAACCCTTCAAACTCATTCATCAGTCAGTGAAATGGCTTCTAACAAGGTTTGTTCTGACAGATCAGAACAAATGATTGATAGAGAAGATAATATGATTGACAGATCAGAACAAATGATTGACAGATCAAATTAAGTGATTGACAGGTCAGATCAGATGATAGACAGGTACATTTATTTTAGGAAATTGATTTAGGATTAGATGATTCACAGATGATTGACAGTTTAAGTTGGATGGAGATGATTGACAGATCAGTGCAGTTGATTGGCAGATCGCCTGATATGATTTACTAATCAGGTCAGATTATGGAGATATTTAAGATTTATTCTTATTGTCTTGTTTTCAGTTCAAACGACTGTTAAACAGGGAGCTGAAGGATTTCTCTGATGCTAACCAGTCAGGCAACCAAGTGTCAGCATGGGTCTACAACACATTTACAGGTAAACAATAGCTATAATTCAATCTTCTTTTAGTTTTACAATTGGCAATAACTACCCAACGAGATAAATCAACATTAATCAATAATCATCAACTAATCTCATTTTTACAAAAAATACGTCTCAGCTCTGATTGGCCGTAATAGCTCATACATTATTCATCAAAGATTACTTCGCCCTATAGCATGACGTCCATGATTACCCCTCGCTTTGTGTGTTTTAGATGACCTTACAAAGAGGTGCCCCCCAGACCCTACACCACCACCTAAGGCAGCACACTCCCCAATACTGTTCAGAGATCTGGCCCAGACTCAAACTGGTAGGAGTTCCTTGCATGTATTAAGGGCCTTTCCCTCATTTACACCTTGATACAAAGATACAGAGCTGTCAACTCTTCACACTTAAGTTCCAAATAAAATAATCGTATATATACGATAGATATATTTATTCTGGCAAAATATTCCACTTCTAACAGCCTTATTTGGGGCTGTATGATTAATAATTTTCATTTTTTTCTCTGTACTTACCTTTAATTATTTAGTTATTAAAAAGATCTGAAAGAAAGCTCTGAAGAAACACAAGAATGTGAAAAAAAATATCTAATTTCCAAAAAAAAAAAAAAAAATCAAAATATAAACTATTCACCAGGCAATAATATTGATAATAGGTTTGGATTATTTTTATTTATCGTAAATGATAATGATATGATAAGATATAATGCAGGATTTGCCAATCTTGTGGTGAAATTGTTAATTATTATGTGGAGTTAACAGCTCTAATAATATTAGGGCACCTCATTGCTGGTTTACAAACATTCAGAAGCTCTCATTTATTTCTCCATTTTGGATTAGCAAATTGCAAATTTAAGGACACATTTTTTTGAGTTTCCCAAAACTACTCCATTGTTAGGTATGAAAACTTGTCCTTTGGAGGGGGGGGGAGGGGGAGGGGGAAATAGGATATTGCAATTATTGTTCTCCAACTGAGTCTACAGCATTCTACATTTTATTGAATCCCTTCTCAAGAAAATGGTCTTCTGGCTGTCATCCTAAGAATATTAGAATATTATTAAAAACGCTTATGTTTTTTATATTTATCAATAGCTCTATTTAAATCTAATAAGCAAATTAAAGCCCATAGTCCACTTCACGGTTACCTGCGCCATCTTGAAAGGAAGCTGTGCCTTTGCATCGAAGCGAGACGACCGTTGAGCGTGCAATGATAGAAACCTTCTTTCACACCTACAGACAATTATTCACAGGTATCTATCATTGCACGCTCAACGGTTGTCCTGCTTCGATGCAAAGGCACAGCTGAGGCACGGCTACCTTTAAAGATGGCCCAGGTAACCTTGAAGGAGACTATCAATATTTTTAACATTGTTTACCAAGAAGTGTGCATATTTTTCTTGTTTTACAGATAAACAGCTAGAGATTCCTGCTGATCCTAACCAAAGTAAAACAAGAAAAGACTGCATCAGGGCACGATCAAGATCTATGGTCAATGGTGTCCGTAAACTTACTCGATTACATAGTTTTTCTGGAACTGTTCCTCGGTGAGCAAATTTAAGGGAATTTCTTTGAACAAGATGTTCATTTTGAATTGTAATCGTGGGTTGCTTTATAAAATGTTTTTGTTTGTTTGTTTGTTTGTTTGTTTAGTGTGAAACTTAATTGTTTTAATAATATGTTATTTGTTCATGTTTATTGAGGGAATTTAAACCACATCGCCATTTTATTTAGTATTCAAAGATGGAAAACAATTGAAAATTGGACAAAAAATAAAATCAAAGTTTCTATGTTAATACAGTCTTTGTCAAGTCTTAAAAGGAAGCAGTCCATTACATGTATAATTTCAAAACCTGTGTTTTTGGAATTCAAAAACTTAGACGTTTTATTGTTTTATATCTTCCTCACAACAAGTTATGTGATGCAGAAAGGAAAGGCCATAGAGGAATGTAACTCTTCATAATTAAACTGTAATTTGTTTTCCTTCAAAAAAGTTGAATCTATAATATTTTGATTTTCTGAAAATCCAGATAATATCATTTTTTTCCAATTTTTAAGTATATTTTGGTATAGCAGTGAATATGCCTCATTTTACCTTGTGTCTATGTCACAAAGCTTATTGCAGCAGGCTCATTTAACTTCTTTGTTTTTGAATTAAAAAAAAAACACACACTCTCCACTAAGTTTTGTTAGTAACACTTAATGATTGGTTTAAATTCCCTTTTGATGTTATTGTGTTAGTACTAAATGTGCAGTACTTGCAGTATTGATCCTGTCTGTGTTTGTCTCTATTGAACAGAATTATTTCTCCAGAAGGCAAAGGGAATTTTAGTCAAAAGGTCAGCATTGACTTGCTGAATAACTGTCTTGTTTTTATATTTCTGTAGATTCGGTGTGGAAGTCCAGAATGAAAGCGAATTAGCAAAGGTTAAAAAACAGCTATTATTTTCTTTAAGTAGTTTGAGGGCTTCAGTGTGTTAGTTTATAGTGTGTTTCTTAGATACAATGTATATACAGCCTTTTGCAAAAATTATGAGAATTGTCGAAATATCTAAATATCTTAATATCGAGTGCATGATGGGTAATCCCGCGCGATGCCCTTAGTCCCTTGTCTTTGTAGTTTAGTTTTTTTTGGCGACAGACTTATCCATAGTTCTGAACATTTTCTCGATGTCAACAATGAATTATTCTAGCAAACCCACGTGTTCCGGACAATATATGGATATGTGGATATTATGATATTTAGATATTTAGACAATTCTCATAATTTTTGCAAAAGGCTGTACACACCATATATATATAATAACAAAGAGGCAAGATTTGCTGTTGCTCTGAGTTTCGTGCTACGCACTTGAATGCGTCTTGCCTCTTTGTTATTATATGTATATAATTAGCTCTACACTATATGTGTATTGAGCACTCTTTAATGGGATCAGCTACTTCCTCATATGATTAGATATATACATATAAAAGCCATTGCCAACAATTTTGTTTGGAAAGTGCATGACTGCTTTGAATATTAACCACAGAATTTTACATGTAGTCTATTTTCCCTGCATCATCTTGAAAAGTATCTAATTTCCTTTGCATCTAAGCAAGTAAATGGTGAGCATGAAATGATAGCTACCTGGAAATTATGTCTCTAGTTGTTAGTCAGTTATCATGCTTCAATGCAAAGCTTTGCTAACCTTCAAGATGAGATAGGGAAACATTAAATGGGACTGTTATCTAGATTGTTTGATTCAAAATATTTAAAATATCTACTTAGAATGACAATGTTTTAAGAAATATTCAAACTCATCTCAAATTGACCGACATTCTCTATGTAATAACACTTAAGCTTTGACCACAGTTGTTCACAGTTGGCAATGGCCCTATAAGCAGAAACTCAGAAAGGGTTTGAATCATGTAACGTTGGAGAAAAGCCACGTACCAGAAAATATGGCAGTTGGTGGTCAGCAAACTAGCAATTTTGCAAACTTTAAAACATGGCAGTATGAAGTTAATAAATAATSAATTTCATTCAGTCCTGGATATTCTCAATCATGTTTCATTACCTTTTTGAGTTTCTGATTTGACTGTTAACATAACGTYATAACCTTTGAATTGTTTAATAATTTAATTTGTTTGATGCTCACCAGATATTAGAAGGCATCAATAAATGGGATTTTGATGCATTTTCCCTGGATGAGGCCACTAACGGCCACCCTATGTTAGCTGTAGCCTATACAATTCTGCAGGTATGGCRCAATGAATGGCAATGAATCAACCATTGTAGGATTGATTGACCGTTGTAACCTCCAAGGCTATGCAATTCCCCTGCATAACTTTATTTTTTTATGTCTCCACTCAATGTATTGCCAAATTTATTTTAATTTTAAGTATACTTTTAATACTTAAATTGCATTAAATKTTGATTTGTTCCAGGCCAGAGATCTATTAAAAATTTTCAAAATCAAACCAACCACATTTATAAATTATATGTCACTTGTAGAGGTAAGTGATGCTGTTACATTCCAGTAAACTGTTTCCTGGCATTCAGTTTAAACTCAGCATTATTTGAAGTGCATTCAATATTGTTTTGATATTCACACCTCAATATGTTTTTCTTTACAGAGTCATTATTTAAGAGATGTTCCATTTCATAATTGTATTCATGCGGCAGACGTCACGCAAACTACTCACGTCCTGTTATCTGCGCAAGCATTTGATGTAAGTTAAGGGAGGGTTTGCAGGTTTATGTTGAGCTTTCAGCTCACCAAAATTTTTTTCAGCAGTCTCAATWATGGCCTCAGTGAGCTGAAAGCTTGACGTACTAAATAAAAATTATAGRTTGAAGTAACATTTGAATTGTAATTTAATAAAATAATAAAAATTATGAGGATACATAATTTGTTTTTTTGTATCATAGCTATTTCCTGTGTTGTTTTGTGTTCAAATGTTTTTGCTGTGTGTACTGTGACAGCAGTAGTGCCTTTGCTCATGTTTCTTTGTTTTCAGTCGGTATTCACAGACYTGGAAATCCTGTCAGCAATTATTGCAAGTGCAGTACATGACGTCGATCATCCTGGTGTTAACAATCATTTTCTTGTCGCTACAAGTAAGCCAWTGTTCCTATTTTTATCAGTACATCAGARTRGTGAATGGATGTTACAGTACTCTGCGTGTTTAATATTCAGCTTGCAGATGAAAAACTTCAATAAACTTAACAAACCATCCCTGGATATCTTTACTTAATAAAAGAAATACAGACTGTATTAAAGACTTTTTTTGTGTGGCAATTTTATTTATTTTATTATATGAACACTTTAAAAAGAAATCAGAAAAAGTGCATAAGTGCAAAAATAACTTTTGCACTGTTGGTGTTGACTTCTTGTTATTGAATATTATTATTTCTTAATTGAACTTTTCATCATTATTTTCAGATTCAGAAATGGCGCTAATGTATAATGATGAATCAGTATTAGAAAACCACCATCTTGCTGTAGCATTTCAACTTCTTCAACATGAAGAYTGTGATATATTTGAGAATCTTAGTAAAAGTGAGAGACAATCTGCACGGCGAATGATTATAGAAATGGTAAGTACTCAATATGCATTATTCCCATTCAGAGAGAGAGAGCAATCTAAAGCCAAAAACAAAATTAAGAAAGTTTAGAAATTTAGAAATTTGAAGCTTCACCGATTTGAAGCTAAGCCTGCATTCTCACAAGTCCTAGAGTTTACACCTTCTAGGAATGCAGGCTTAGCCTCAATAGGAGAAAATGCACATTTGAAATAACAACATTTTTTCATACTTTTTTTTGTTTTTGGAAAATCTGCGCATGAAATACTGTTGCCAATTAAAACAGCGGACTCTCGCTTTAAATTGTGAAAAAAGCATAAAGAGCTGGGAAACTTTTACTGTAGATGGGAGGCCCATTGGAAAGTAATGTTCATATGTTTATTTTTTTAATATTACCATTATTACACTATTATACCAACAGCAAAGAACTTCTAAAATTACAATTTTCTTTCTCTCCTCTTCTCTGTTTCATTCATTCTTTTCTTTTTTCCTAATTTTTTCCTTTTTTCTTAAAATAATTGCTATAGGCTTCCTCCTTGCCTATTCAGAAATTCTTTATTAGAATTTATTCCAGACCTTTGGACTTGAACATGTGAATTACTTTTTCCAGGTGCTAGCAACAGACAATGCCAAGCACATGAGTCTACTRGCCTCACTCAAGACAATGGTTGAAACAAAAAAGGTTGCAGGCACTGGTGTGCTCTGTTTAGACACATATACAGATAGAATGCAGGTAACTATGCAGTTGCTTCTTGTATAATGTACAGTCAGTAGTAGCTAAATAACAACCTAAATCGTAATGTTAGGATGAATTCATTATACCCTTATGAATTTCTTAAATAATTTGTAAGGTAAACACAATGGAAAATATGTCCAAATCTTTATATGATCAAGATATTTGTCCTGATTTGCATACAACTTTGACTTTGACTTCCTCTTAAAAAATGATATTTTATCTTGAAGTTAATATGCCTTGGCTTATGTGAGAATTTTATTGGGATTCGATAAACAATATAAAATATTCATGTCTGATCTTTATTCCCAAAGATGTTTCCTGCTCATATTAATATACATAAAACATTTTGTACAAAAGTACACTCAAGAGCTTAAGTAAACAATAGATTAAATATATCTTAAAATTATTTTTAGGTTCTGAAAAGCTTAGTTCACTGTGCTGACTTGAGTAACCCTACAAAACCTCTTTTCATCTACCGAAAATGGGTAGACCGGCTGATGGAGGAGTTCTTCAGACAGGTAGGTGAACAAGCACACCAAACAGCAAGCCTCTTTGTTTGCTTTTCTTACCCAAGCTTAGCCTTGGTTATTCCTCACATGCAGCATAGCCTTCAATGTTTGCAAAATACATGTAAATTACAACACAGCCCCTTTCCCTACTGCAATGATATACATGTACACGTGACTTCATTCATGAATTCCTGCCAATTTCAAAGTGTTTAACCATAATATGCACAGCTATCTTATAATAACGGATTGCAG